CAAATATCCAGATTATTTATGTTAGGTTATCTCCAAGAAAAAGTTTATGTAAGCAATCCGCAATGCTTGGAATATCAGGAGGAAGATTTTGGGGATATATCCAGAAACTTTACGAAAGGTCATGTGTTAGAAAGGGCCCACAACTATCGTTGCGAAAATGGACACCATTTATCGTATATAGTTGAAAAACAACTTTAAGAAACACACTTGGTATTATGAGTTTTTAAAATATAAATTTACTTTTCATATATTTTTTTATAATTTAAAATCATGAAGGTACTTTTGCGCCACCCTGTACGAAGGTAGAATTCAATAAAAAATCAAAGTGTTTACCTTGTCTGGCTGTTAGATCTTGAGGGTCGTTGAGATAAAGACCGTTAAGCCCCCTACCACACGACTTCCACCACCATCCTCCTTTCAACATGGATGCACAATTCAAACTTGATCGATCATTGTCTCTAAAAAGAATAAAAATAAAATTAACAAAAAAAAATTTTTTTTCATTACCACAAAACCAAACAAAGAAGCGGATTATAAATTCTTCCAATAATAAAATAGAGAAGACAAGGAAAGAAACACAAACATTCGTTTAAAAAAAAAAAAAAATAATTTTCTACACGTAGAAAACTATTGATAGAAATAACGGCTATAAAACTAATAAGTATTCCAATAAGAGTTTCCGAATGTCTTTTTTAGTTATTTTTCATAACGCAACTTTTTTCGTAATATCCTTTTTTTTGTTCAATTTGGCATATTAATGCAATTGTAGCAATGCAGTGTACAGAGTAGAACGTGTTAAACATTGTTAAACATTTGTATTAAAAAGGTTTTTTTTATTTTGGTGTACAAAATTATCCATCAGAAAAAACTATTTATAATATAGTACAGAAATTCAAAACTACATGATCTCTGCAAGATATCAAAACACCACGTGAACGTCCAGGTAGTTTGGTTGGTAATATTGAGGATGTTCATCCGAGGCTATTATAATACCCAAATGTCTATTGAACGTCGTTCACAACAGTTAGGATTCGACCATCATGGCTCACTTCAGCTTAGACATCAGCCAGCCTACCATCTTTTAAAACTCTTATTTTTTTATCAATATTTGAAAACTTGTTGGAACACCCATTAATTTAACGTCGGTTATTGTTATGGCTGACTCAAGTTTTGTTCAACGTTAAAATAGGTATCAATATTTATGAAAAATACAGGTATGCATTTACCTATTGTATGTAGAAAATGGACTGTTGTTGCTTCCATACCAAGGATCGTTAAGTGAATCACCGGCGTTACCTTCGTATCCATCTATTTCAAGTTTGTAATACTCCGCTTCAGAGTAGATTTTGAAATGAGAATACTGTGCATATCTAGAAAAAAAAAAAACATATTTATTAGTATTAATGTTCAAATAAAAATTTACACATTTTTTAATTTAAATTAAAAAATAATCATTGTTAGTTTAACTCTACTTTCTATAGCTAAGTTGCTTGATTCTTTAATATGTTTCTTTTAGTCCCGATGTTTCTAAGGTATTAATGGTTTGTAAGGTGTAAGTATTGAAGATTATCAGGGAAGCTTTAGCAGTAGCTAAGATAGTGTAAAACAAAATTAGGCTTTTTTAAACGTTATAATAATTGTTCATACGATTTAAACTATTTGTAAAAGAAAATATGTCAACAATAATAAATAAAATACTGAAGGTCAAATCATCAAGAAATTGATGTATGTTTTCACTAAATTGTCAGAAGATTGAGACAATTAATAGTAGTTTACGTTATGAGCCCGTTACCTAAATCATTACATGCGAGCACGTAGAGATAAGGTAACGGGCGTGCATCGTACAACGTTTTATGATGTACTGCGATTTACTAAGTTTTACAACCTAAACTCAAACAAAATTTTATCATTTGACATTATAATTACAAGTTTCTGAATGAGACTTAAAATAATGACAGTTCAGTTACAACTGGCAGTTCGGTCATAACATAACTGTTGTGAAAATTATTGATTGTTGTTATGGTTTTATTAAGTGATCGGCCTGATCGGTGGTGATCGGTTAACATTTTATCGGGCTAGCCCATTATGACTCCCATAGGGAACCATAAACATAGGTTGGTTACCACGGTATAACATTGCAGTATATTATAAAACTTGTTATAATTTTCTGACCAATTGTAGAAACTTTCAGTTTTAATATTATTTATTATTTAAAACATTGTTATTTTTACATTTTGTGCATATTTTATGAGATTATATTATTCGTGTTTATGTGTGTTTTTTTTGTTAAAGTATCTTTATCGCTTTTTAACTTAGAGCATATGCTCTAAGCTTTTATTAATATGCTATCAATATGGCATATAATCTGTATCATGTTGGTAACATTAAAATTGGCCAATATGTTAAATTATACGATCCGTTCAGCCTAGTAAAGTAAAACATAGTATATTTTCAAAGTATTCTCCTACACAGTCAATGCATTTTTGCATCCACACAAACCATTCTTGAAAACATTTTCTTCAATCTTCTGACCGTAATTTGTTTATTCCATTTGTAAAGGCTGATGTAAAAGGTAAAAATAAAAAAAAAATTATTAGGTACTAGGATTATGCGGCGAATGACATATTATTTCCATGCTTTGGACATTCACATACTTATTTGTTCAAGCAGCAGATGATCTTTCCTCTTGGACGTTTTTCGCGAATTTTTTGGAATTACCAGTACATCTATCCTCCAGACCTACAGAAGAAACATCACCTGTAATGATGTTGTACACCAAATTAGAGGATCCACAGTCAAAGCGATCTAGTGTAGATCTGCACCGGCTCACACGGCCTTCTTTTTAAACAAAAATCAAGTTATGGGGAATCCACCTAGAACAAAGCTTACGGACTTTTAAACGTTTGTGTAAAAAAGTGTTAATTGCTTTCACACCAATCTTTAAAGAGCTTGAACATTTCTGACAGTAATGTAACTGCCATTTTTGGCTTAGGAACTCGAAAACTGTCATTTAAGGAAAGTCCACCACGTTGAAATTCATTGTACCACCGTTTTACGGTAGGGAAGGAACACGACTTGTCACCAAGCACTCGAATGATTTCCTCAAAATCTTTTTTACGAATTAAGCCACGCTTGAAATTGTAAAAAATCAGAGTCCGATAATGCTCGTTGTTCATTTTCATCACTTATTGGCAGAGGATTACTTTCAACTTATGTAACTTAAAAAAATTAAGTATATTTGGCAACTGTCACTAACTAAACTTGTAAACAATTAGATTGAAATGTCAGGAAAACGTTTTTGCAAAAATATCATCGCCTACTGGATAGGCTCACGAGAACAGCCCTCGTATGTAATCACCTCCCCAATAAATTGTAGAATCCCTCAATTTATTGAAAAGAAATTGATTATTTTATTCAGCGATATATTGAGCAATAAGATGAGCAATGAATTAAGAAATAAATTGAGCATCACATTGGATATTGTAAAACAGTTATACAATAGTTATAAGATATATACTTTCTAAGATTGCCTTATTTTTATGATTTCTTAGCTATAAGAAAATAAGATTTTGTTGATAGTTTATTTTATTTTTGTTTGGTGTGTTATCGGCTTCAACTGCTAAGGTTATTTCGCCTCGTGTTCTTTGTAGGCTTTGTTACTGTTTCTCATTGCCACTTTAGGAACAGCACTGTTAATTAGAACCCAACAGAGAATGGTCGAGTGGGGAATCCTACCAAGGCATCAGAATTAATTTTAAATAATTAAATTAAATGAAAAAATTCCGGCCAACGGTGGGATTCGAACCTGGGACCCTTGTATCCCCAGGCAGAGGCTCTAACCACTGAGCCACCCACCCCTTTGATAGTTTATTAATTACAGTTTTGGTATTTTTGGTCCTTTAATAGATTTAGGTCGGTTATTTATTAAAATTATGAGCTTGATAAACATAGACGACTCTAGCTAAGCAATACGTTACGACAGCGAATTTTCATAAAATTATTCTAATTATATTATTTTTTTAAATTTTCGTTAATTAATAAAATTTTTTCACTCGTGTCATTAATGTCTGTAGTAATGTAAGGAACTTTGTTTATGCATCTGTAACGTGTGGAGGGTATCTTATCCCGCGGCACTTAGGCCTCACTAGGCTCATTATGAATCCTTCTAAATTGATAGGCACCTCCTAGCTCGTGAGCCAGCTTACAAACTTAACGTAGTTGACAGCATTGCTAAGAGGTGCTTCTCTTATATCGGCCGGTATTAGCCGATACTCGCCGAACACAAATATAATAAATATCTACTACGATAGCACGACGCTCAGGGGTGTGAAACTGGTATGCGCAGGCCTGGGATAAAGCAAAAATCAAGCACGACCGCAAGGTGGCGCTGCAGTCGGCTGGTGGGGTGGGTGGTGGGAGTGTAACGGACAGGTAAATATTGATTTTTGTGGGGGGTGTCATGGCGTCTTGGCTTAAACCAAACAAGAATGTTGTTTATTTATATTGTGGTTATATTCAGTTGTGTTTTCATTTCCAATTTGCTTAATTGATTTAGTTGACCACTGTTAATAAGCTTGTTTTTCCATTATAAATTTGTGCTTTTTGAGCTGTTATCTTGTGCTTTTTCCGCTGTTATTTTGTGCTCTTCCATAAAGATTCGTAATTATAGAAAATGTTGTGTACCGAATTGCCTTGATGTGGACAAAAAGATGCATCGCCTGCCCCACCACGAATTCACCCGATTTATTTGATATTTGGGCACTTGCTGTTCGTTGTCCAAGATTTAATAATAAAACAAGACTACAAATTTATTCCACCTTTGTAGTATGTCATAAACATTTTGAAGAGAAGTATAAAGTAGTTGGCTCTCGTCGAGGTCTAACACCTGAAGCTTTCCAATGCTATTCCTCCCAGCAGTTCCTGGAAGAGTAGCGGATGGACTTTCCTCAAATAACGTAGAAATTGAATATGTTGATCAAACACCTACTTCAAGTAAAGTTACTATATGTTGAGCTTCTTTTTGAGAAGGAAAGTTAGTAATCTACTCATTTATTTTATACTTATACTGTGGATTTTCTGTTTCATGACATTTGGGGTTGCAAAGCTGTATCGTAGAAGAAGAAGCAGACTAATAATATATGTTGGACTTCTTTTCGAGAAGGAAAGTTAGTAATCTACTCATTTATTTTATACTTATACTGTGTATTTTCTGTTTCATGACATTTGGGGTTACAAAGCTGTATCGTAGAAGAAGAAGAAGAAGCAGACTAATAATATATGTTGGACTTCTTTTCGAGAAGGAAAGTTAGTACTCTACTCATTTATTTTATACTTATTGCCGCGTTTGAGAATCCACATCAGATGCATTTTTTTACATTTTTTATCCACATATATACAAATCGTTTATTTAGTCAAAAAAAACAACTATTTTTTACATGTCAATACATCTTCACATTTAAAATATAAAAAATACATAAATATAAAATCAACATACATTTAAAATGCAATAAAAAATACATAAGATACAGTACACTTACATGTCAACTATACAAAACATAATAAAAGGACAAGAAAGAGAAAAAAAAACGTCAATAGGTCAACAGGTATTCATGCGATAGATATTCGCTATAATAAAGCAAAAATGCAGTTTGTGTGAACAAATCTTAATTTGGCTAACAGTTTTTAATGCGGATAATTTTTACTGTCAAATTTGAATAGCCCCGCGCTTTCCTTCTCTTCTTTTTTTATTATTTTCTCTTCTTTCATATGGCCTCTTACCAGACAAGGACTTAATTGAAAAAAATCAACCACGTCCACCAGGTGCCGCTGAAAATTCTATCATCCTTTTTTAACATGGGAGATACCGTTCTAAGAGTAAGTGTTCTGTGACGACGCTCTCATTTTCTTGTTCGCACCCCCTGAAGAGTGCGGCTTCTCACAGCCCCATGCAATGGATATGCGTCCGTACTTGGCAATAACCAGTTAGAATGCCTGTATTTGTTTTCTGTAGTATTGTCAGAATAACTCATTAACTCCCTGGCAACTGTGCAGTGTGGTTTTCGTGACTCCTGTAACGTTGAATTTGTTCTAGTTTCGCGGATATCGTCAATTGCGTTTTCGATACCTAGACAACTGCAGGATAGTTCTTGTGATGGCCTTGTAGGTCCATGTGACAACTCTAAGGAAGAAACTCCAGGTGCACCCCACGGTTCGGCGGCATTGCACATAAGCAATGTATACTCTTTTAACTCTGTTTTCTAAGTGTGAGTTCCATCTTAACTTGCTGTCTGTTGCAGAGTTTAGTTTTGTTTAATTACATTTTTATCTTTTTCCTTGTGAAAAGGACCATTTCCTTCTTCTTGATATTGAT